GCTGAGGGGCCAAGTCATTCGCAGCCCCACCCACCAAGCAGCCCTGAGGTTCCAGAGCCTCCCGCCACCTGTTGGGCCAGGCACCTTCCATTTCCACTACCAAGGTAGGCCTGGGCAGTGGAGGGAAGAACCAGCCCAATCTGGCTGCCCTCCTAGGAGTTTCTGGTATTATTACAGCCTGGGGGGAACAGGGCAAGGTTAGTAACATACAGCACAGGTGCCCAGTGAAGCTGTGTACAACTGGAGGTGAGTATTGCACATCTGACACCTCCAGAGCTTTGTCTCTTCCACCTACCACCCTTCAGAGAACTGGTCTTGAAGGAGGACTGATACAGGATCAAGTAGCCCCCAGGTATGCCTATTGCTATTCATTCATTCATTCATTCATGCATGCATCCATTCATTCATTCATTCCGTATAGTTTTCATAGGCATCTGCTCCTTGTCAGGCTTGTGCTAGATACTGATAATATCAAGATGAACCAGCCAGTCCTTGCCATCAGAGTTCAGAATCTCAAGGGGAAGCAGACAATTAAATAGGCAATAACAATATAAGTCCTCTCCCCAAATGCAAAGGGGCCAAGGTCAAGGGCTTGACAGTCATGATCTGGAGGTGCTTAGCTAACGGCCTGGCCTTCCTGAACTGCTTCTCCCACTCTGGACCTGGCCCATGCCCTAGTTAGTTCAGAACATCTCTGAAAATAGAGAAGTGTCATGCTGTAATGGAAAAATCACAGACTCAGAAGATGAGCAGATCTGTGTTTGAATCTTCTTCCTACTGCCTGTTGACCTTGGACAGGTCATTTGAACTCTCTAACCCTCATTTTCCTCTGCTGTAAGATGAGACCAAAACACATACTCTACAAAGTCATGGTGAGAATTAAACAAAATGGCATGTATCAACTGCTTAGCATATGCTCCATGAAGAAACCAGAAACTAGTATTGAAGAGCTGGTAAGACGGGGAAGGAAGAAGGAGTTTGGGAATCTGACCCTCTTCCATCAGCATCCCTCCTGTCCCCCCTCTCCCAGGCAGTCTTCTTGATCCTTTGTACTGCACCAACAGGGTAACCAGTTCAGACTGGAGGGTTCTAATTGGGAAATAATTGGTATGAGCAATCATAAGATTACCTTGAATTATCATGGACCACTTCCACGGCCCTGTGGGGGGTCATAGCCTAGGGAGGAGAACAGGCACTCCTCTGGAAATGGGGATGCCTGGGACCCACCTATGGAGCACTCACTCCTTCTTGGCCTATCCACCCACACTGGGGAAGCATGACAATAGGGAGCCTGGCAGTGGGCAGGAGATGGCCAGGGGCTTGGCAAAGACAAGGGGCGAGCTGAGAGAAGGGTGAGCATCTAGGTGGCCCAATGCAGCCTCCCTAATGGCATGACAATAGGGAGCCTGGCAGTGGGCAGGAGATGGCCAGGGGCTTGGCAAAGACAAGGGGCGAGCTGAGAGAAGGGTGAGCGTCTAGGTGGCCCAATGCAGCCTCCCTAATGGCTCATCAATCCTCCCTAACAGCAGGCATAATTTCACGCCACGGTAACCTTCACTCTTGCTGCAAATTCCTTTGTAAAAAACCCCAGACCTCCTCTCTGGCGGGCCAAACAAAGGTGGCTGACAGACAGGGAGTTAGAGGTCCTGCAATGGGAAACAGACCCCAAGGAGGGGCTGAGAGAGCTGGCCCAGTCCCACCTCCTTCTCAGCTCCCAGAAGCCCTCCCTCCTCGGCCCACTTTTTGTCAATGATTTCCCTAATGAGTGTAATTCCCCTAATTATAGGCTGTAATTAGCCCTGATCCCAGAGATGGGAACAGGAGGAGCATGTACTCACATGCGTGTCTCCCTGGGCTGGAGACAGAGGGTGCCAGAAGAGGGGGTGAGGAGCCTAGTACCAATGCTGCTGCTAAAGCTGTCCAAGATAATGTTGGAGATCACAAGGATGGGCACCCACGAGGGCCTCGTCTGTAGAACCAACTTCCAGCGCCCCTCCTACAGCCTCAGACAGGGTGAGGAAGCAGAGGGCCCTGCCAGGCAACCCTTCCTCCCTCCTGAGCATTCCTGGCACTGGACTTGGCTCCAGAAACAGCCGTCAGGTAGAAAATAGCTCAACAGATTGCAGTGGTGCAGGCTCTCCGGGAACAGTCGTCATGGCAACAGGAAGAAGCTTATCCTGGGAAGTGGCACTTTACCCACTATGGAGTCTGAAGGCTTCATCATCCATCCCCTCACTCCCCACCGTCTCCTGCTCACTTCATCTCAGCCCAATTTTCTAATCTGTGAAATGGGGTACTTCCCTTCCCAGAGTTGTTATAACTCATGGGGAAGATCTAAGTACAGGTGCTGAGCATGACATCTGGCTCATGGCCTAGAACTCCCTGGGTATCATACCCCCTCCATTCTGGGTACAGTGACTCACGCCCTCCTTCCTATCCCACACTGGCCTGGGGTTTCCTCCCAGAGCATTGTGAGTGGCTGCCCTGAACAACTACCCAGGACAACCTTGTCTATTGCTCTCAGGTTTCTCTGACTCCTGAGCCCAGGTCTCTACTCCTGGGGAAGCAGGTGAGAGAGGAGAGATGTAAAGCAAGTAGGCTTCAGAGCCAAGAGCTTGAAGGTCCTATTCTACCACTTACTAGCCGTGTGATCAAGGCAAGTTCCTCAGTCTCTCTAAACCTGAGTTTTTCTCATCTGAAAATGAATAACCCCTGCCTTGCCTGCCTTCCTGTGTTGTAGACATCAAGTAAGAAGAGTGTGAAGGCATTTTAGAAGCTGGAAGGTGCATTCTGATGTGAGGTGCTTTATTAATCAAGATTATAAACAACAGCAGGCTGGTGCATTCGATATTTGTTCTGTGCCAGGCACTGCATATCTGTCCTCTCACGTAACAACGTTGGATGCAATACTCTAAATGGGTGGGTAAACAAGGAAACTAAAGCACAGAGAAGTTAGGTAACTTGCCCAAGGTGGCACAGGAAGGAGAGGAGCCTATGCTCAAACCTAAGCAGTCTGACTCCAGGGCCTACCTCCTCAGCACTGCCTTATACTGCCTGCCAATCACAAGTAACCATTCATTGGCCATTCTCTTAAGAACCCTGTGAGAGAGGGAAGAGTAGTTATCATCCCCTTTCACAGACCTAGTAACTAAGGCCAGGGAAGGTGAAAAATCACAAAACTTTATTCTGGACCCTAGTTTGCCCAGAGGAAGCTTTTTCTACTCACACAAAGGGCCACAGAGGCTAGTAGAGTCCATGCTTAGACCTCTCTTTCCATCCACCTGGAGCCAGTGGTAGTAAAGGTTGCCCACACCCACCCCGCCCCATGCAAGATCCAAGAGTCCTTCCTCAGTCTAGACCATGCCCATCTCTCCCACCAGCCCCAAAGGTCTTTAGCCTCTGTAGCCTAAGCCTTCCCTCAGCCTCTCTCATTGACCCCTCTAACCCTCTTCCTCACCTCTCAGACCCCATTTTTAGCTACCACCCCAACTTGGCCCTAAGTTGAGATTGGCCAGATTGTTTTGTAGGATTTGCTGCCACCATTCGGTCGTATTTGGTATGACAGTCCCAAAAGCTACAGTTTCCCAGGGCAACTTATCAGTCCCCCAACTTCCCTGAAGGCACATATTGCCTCCCCACCATCGCCCCATCCAGTTTTTAAAAGCAGTATACAGCCCCTGCCATCAAGCTATTTTAGCATTTCAATGAACACTGGGGAAACTTTTACTGTCTGCAATTCATATTTGTCCCCTATGGGAAAAATAATATAAATACTTTACATCATAGGCTTTTCGCTGTTTCAAGTGCTTTCACATCTACATGTCTTTTAATAAACATTTTTTGAAGATGTACTATCAGCCAGGTTCCAGGGATACCAAGTTGAATAAATTACTATCTCATTTATTCTCACAATAACCCTGTAGGTAGGCCGGCATTTTAAACCTCATTTAACAAATGAGGAAACTGAGACACAGAAAGCTAGTAACCTGTCTAAAGTGTCAGAAAGGTTAGGCCAGAACTCAAGCTTCCTAACTTCCAGCTCTGTGCTTGCTCCATTAAGCAGCCCAGGCTGCTGGAAATATCATGGATACCTCTTAGGGAAGGGATCAGTATCTTTTCTGGAATTCCTGATGTTTTTTCTGGCCCCAAGTGACACCTCCAGGCAGGCTGGAGTAAACCCCTTTGCCCTAGGTATGACTCGGCAGCCCCGCCCCCCCTCCCCCCCCCACACACAATGTTACCCATTCTCTCTCTGCAGCCTATCTCCTGAGCTGCCACTTTCCCCGACATCCAGCTTATGGAGCTGTGACTGTCACTAGCCTCCACCCAGGAGGCAGCGCCCGCTTCCACTGTGTCACTGGCTACCAGCTGAAGGGTGCCAGGCTCCTCACCTGTCTCAACGCCACCCAGCCCTTCTGGGATTCCCAGGAACCTGTCTGCATCGGTGAGTGGCCCCAGGAGACTCAGTGCTGAATAGAGGAGTAAGGTGGGGGACTAAGCTGTGCTCTGTTGCTATCTAGCACCTTTATTTGCTCTCCTTAATGAGCCAGAAAATGGCTACACACCTCAGCGGCGTCTGTCCAACCAGTACTCAATGAGCGCTTACTGTATGGAGGCACCACGGCTGCAGAGAACTAAATTAAAGAGTGTGCCCTCGAAGAGCCTATACTTTCTGAAGAGGGGGGAAAGAAAAAGCACATGAGTTATCAATTTTCACAGCAGGAAATAAAAAGTACCAATGAAGAGATATAAAGTAACCTGGGAGGAGACAAAGCAATTATTCTCAGGCATTTAGAAGCTTTCCTGAAGGAAGTAGCATTGGAGGTTTGACATTTCAGTGGAAGGAACAATGTGGACAGTGACACAGAGGTGACGAGAGGGAGTATTTAGGGACAAAGAAGACGGCCAGGTTTGACTGAGGCTTGAGACATGAGGAGGGGGATGTGGGAGGACCTCGAACATCAGCCAAGATACTGGAGTGGGGAACTGTTGAAGTTTTTGGAGAAGAGAGAAGAGCTAGGAACTAACTATTCCTCAGGAGAGCCAGCCAAGTGGCATCAGCAGGCTAGGAGGCCAGCCAGGCAAGAGGGTTTGAACTCAGGCAGTGACTTTGAGAATGAAGATGAGGGAAGAGGTTCCAGAGACACTGATGAGTGAAAGGGGGAAAGTGGAAGGAGACTCCCAGGTTCTGGTCCTGGGTGATCAGGTAGTCTGGGAGAGCGGCCAGTTGAGAGTAGCTTGCTGGCAGGAAGAAGATGGAGTGTTTAGTTTGCAGTATTAAAGGCAGCTTGAGTTTTTAAACCTTATTTCATTCTATACACTCTTCCTGGGTGCCAGGCACAAGCAGAGGTGAATGAGCCAGGGGTGGTCTCTGCCCTCAGGGAGCTCTCTATCTAGTGGGAAGATAGGCAAGCAGCTCAGCAGATTCAGTGCAGACAGTGCTGTGATGGGAGGACCTTAGGGTGCAGTGGGGATCCAAGGGAGGAACTGCTGTTCCAAAACGAGGAAGGAGGCAAGGAAAGCTTCCCAAAGAGACAACATAGATGGATTATAAGAATGTTCGCCCAGAGAAGTGGAGTGGATTCCTGGAACAGCAGATGGAGAGGTATGAAGGGATAAAGCAAAATGCTACAGCAAGGACATAGTGAAGTGTGCCTGAAGAAAAGGGTACATGGGGAGAGACTAAAACCAAGTCGAGAGATGGTTAGGTTCATAAAGGGCTTGGATGCCATGGCTTGACCGTGGACTCTATCTGCAGAGCAATAAGGAATTACTGAGGAACTTAAGTATAGGATGGGGGCATGATCAGATTTGAAGAGCAGTTCCATTCTGAGAACAAGAAAAAAGGTGGGTCTGCCCTCTTTGCAGAGAAACAGAGAAGAAACTCACTACAATCCCCTCCCCAAGAGGTTTATGAGGTTAAAATATTCTGTCTTGAACATTTGGAGACAAAGACTATGTCTTGGCAGCTTGGTCTCCGAGAGCTGGCAGGGTCCAGAGCTGTGTGACCAAGAAAGGAAAATTGCTGCCTGGAACCAGCTACACTCTTGCCTGAGACTGCTTCACTTAACTGGCCATACTTAACTGCTAGGAGTTTGTGGCCAAGTAGCCCAGCAGTCCTCAGTGATGGGTACAAGCAAGTTGTTCAGCCTCTACTTGCAAAGAGAGGGAAGTCCCAGGCCAGAGGAGTCAGTGCTGGAAAAGCCCTAAAGAGTCAGCCCAAGAATGACAGTGGCAGTGATGCTATTTCAGAAAGTGTTCAAGGCCATCTCCTGGCTAGCAGTATCTGCTCAGGGCACAAGATTTGGAGGTGAATGATATGTACACACTGTCATCCCTGATGTAATCCTACCCTCTTTTACATTCACTCACTGATTTTATTCAACAAACACTGAATATCAACTCTGCCTGGCCTGAAAAACCTGGACCCTCCCCCGGGAAGTCCTAGTTAAGGGACACATCTCAACAATAACTGATTTTAGAAAAGTGGCATGAGGTAGAAGTAGCAGATATACCCAAGAAGCCCTGGGTAAGGTGCTTTGAGAAAGCCCACTCTGGGAGTAAGGAGAGTCAGGAAAGGCCTCCCAGAGGAGTCAGCAGAGAGGGAAAGTGACTCATCCAGGGCCACACAGCTAGGCCTTGGCAGATCTACCACAGTCAAAGGAGTTGCACATAAATAGTCCCAGAGGTGTGGAAGATTAGGAGATAGGATTCTGGAGTCTAGGCTGCCTGGAGCTGCAGGGTCATGGGGGCAAAGAATTAACTTTCAGAACCATGAAGGCAAAGATCCCTGCTGCCCCACGCACAAGGTACAGAGCTAGGACGGGCAGAAAGACTTGTTAGGCTGCCTAGGACCCAGTCAGGGGTCCAGCACACAGTCCTATCCCTGTCGCGCAGCTGCCTGCGGTGGAGTGATCCGCAATGCCACCACTGGCCGCATAGTCTCTCCAGGCTTCCCGGGCAACTACAGCAACAACCTCACCTGCCACTGGCTGCTTGAGGCTCCTGAGGGCCAGCGGCTGCACTTGCACTTTGAGAAGGTTTCCCTGGCAGAGGATGACGACAGGTGAGATGTCCTGGTGAGGTGGGAGTGTCTGGCCTGGTAATATCTTGCTAGAGGGATGGTATACAAGCATGGGGCCACGCCCCATACGGGTCAGCGACCAGCCACACAGATGCTGCTCTGCTGGCCCAGGCTCATCATCCGCAACGGGAACAACGTGGAAGCCCCGCCTGTGTATGATTCCTATGAGGTGGAGTACCTGCCTATTGAGGGCCTGCTCAGCTCTAGTCGACACTTCTTTGTGGAGCTCAGTACTGACAGCAGTGGGGCAGCTGCAGGCATGGCCCTGCGCTATGAGGGTGAGCCTGATAGGGCCTAATCAGGGGTGGAGGGCTTGGGAGGGGGCTTGGGCCTAGGGTCTCTTCTGTCACACCCTCCTCTTCTCCATTGCATCATCACTCTTTTAAACTCAGCCCTTGCTCACCTGGCACTTAGGTCCTCTCTCCCTGCTCCTCCCCTTGAGTCCAGGATTCCCAACTCATCTTTGCAGAAGACCCTTGCCTGGACCCAGGCCCCCTGGTCCAAGTGAATGAATTCTCTAGAATTTGAAAAGCAAAAAAGGCCTCAATCCTTAGGGAAGAAGAATTTGCTGTTAAGAGGCATTCTAGAACCACGCATGCATGCACGCATTCACTAATTCATTCAAAACATTTATTGAGTCCCTCTCAAAACTAGGCACTAGAAATACAAAAGTTATCAGGACAGCTTCCTAAGCATAATAGGACTAGAAACTCTGGTCTGTCCCTGCCCGCTCCTCCAAGCACAGGACATACATTTGTAGTAAAGATGAAAAAGGCCCTTGGGAGGGAAGTTGGAAGACATCTGCCCCCTGTGTTTGCCCCAGTCAAGGCTGAGCTGGACTGGGCCCTGTGGTTTACAGCCTTCCAGCAGGGCCATTGCTATGAGCCCTTTGTCAAATATGGCAACTTCAGCAGCAGCGCACCCTCCTACCCTGTGGGTACCACCGTGGAGTTCAGCTGTGACCCTGGCTACACCCTGGAGCAGGGCTCCATCATCATTGAGTGTGTTGACCCCCATGACCCCCAGTGGAATGAGACAGAACCAGCCTGCCGAGGTCAGTAGGCACCAGTGGATGGGCCTGCCAGGGACAGGGTGCAGGGTGGGCACTAGGGAACCAGCCGCAGAGCCTGGGGCCACAGGGGCCCAATGACAGGTATGACTCAAGCTTCCCTCTGAGGAAGAGCTGGGGGCTCCCAGCAATGGGTAGACACTTCTGTGAGCAAATGGCAGCCCCAGGACACAGCACTGGGGGGAACAGGGAAGGGACACACCTCCCAGACCACCCCTGCCTTCCAGCTGTGTGCAGTGGGGAGATCACAGACTCAGCCGGCGTGGTGCTCTCCCCCAACTGGCCAGAGCCCTACGGCCGTGGGCAGGACTGCATCTGGGGCGTGCATGTAGAGGAGGACAAGCGCATCATGTTGGATGTCCGAGTGTGAGTGACCACTGGGCTAGGCCAAGCCAGCTCCTAAACAATGGAGACATGTCTTGCCCATCCCATCCTGGGATCCCCTGGCCCACCCTCCCTGACAGTCCTCCTCCACAGGCTGCGCATAGGCCCTGGTGATGTACTTACCTTCTATGATGGGGATGACCTGACAGCCCGGGTCCTGGGCCAGTACTCAGGGCCCCGTGGCCACTTCAAGCTCTTTACCTCCATGGCCGATGTCACCATCCAGTTCCAGTCGGACCCTGGGACCTCGGTGCTAGGGTACCAGCAGGGCTTCGTTATCCACTTCTTTGGTGAGCTTGCCCCTGCCCCACCCCATGCCTGGGAAAGAGGAGATGCCAGAATGCAGACCCCAAATCACGGCAAGTCAGAAAGTCCAAGGCAATGAGAAGCATGAGTGCTCTTATCTGACAAGGGAAAGCTGGAAACACTGAAGGAAGCTAGTCTTGTTCTCCATCTTTCCCCCAGAGCCCAATGGGAGAAAGCCTGCCTTCTGTTGCAGCAAGAGGGATTTGGTAGGTGGCAGGGAGAACTTCATAACAAAAATAGGGAACTAAGGAGAGGTTTTTGATTCTACCTTTCTAATAATCTTTAATAAAAATGACAATTTCCCCATTCTACCTGACCCTGTCTTAGCCCTGAGAAACTGGCCAACATGTTTTTGGAAGGTCAAAGCCTAGATGATTATCTAGGAATCTAGGAGACAGAATGATATCAGGAACAGGCAAGAAGGGGCCCTTGAGCAGGGAGAATGAATCACTGAGCCTGCCCATGCCACACCCAGGACAAACTGGCAGGAGCCCAGTGCCTTCAGGGTAAGGGAGGCTAGCACAGTTGCTTTGGTGCTGGCTGAGGGTCTGCAACTTGCTGCCCCTGTGCCCCTAGAGGTGCCCCGCAATGACACGTGTCCGGAGCTGCCTGAGATCCCCAATGGCTGGAAGAGCCCATCACAGCCTGAGCTGGTACATGGCACTGTTGTCACTTACCAGTGCTACCCTGGCTACCAGGTGGTGGGATCCAGTGTTCTCATGTGCCAGTGGGACCTAACCTGGAGTGAGGACCTGCCCTCCTGCCAGAGGGGTGAGTGCACCTATTCCCCAGATTCCCCTCCCAATGTAACCTATAAACCTCTCTCCTGGACTCTGAACCAGACTCCAGCTGTTATTAGCTGGTATCCTTGAAGTTCCTTCAGCTCTCATGGCCTCAGTTTCATCATTTGTGAAATGGGACAATACCTTTCCATAAGGTTATCTACCAAGTACTCCAAGGATTTTGTTCCAATTGATTTTGTTAACTCTGATGGATAGAGGCAGATGAGGGAATACACCAGCAAAATAGTAGGGACAGATAACTAGCGGGTGGAGCCATGGCATGATGATGTCAGCTGGCCTGGAACAAGGCCAGGGTGGATTGGCTTTTGTCAAGTTCTACTTGGGCTACTTCCCCCCACCCCATCATCTCCTATCTGTAGTGACTTCCTGCCATGACCCTGGGGATGTGGAGCACAGCCGACGCCTCATATCTAGCCCCAAGTTTCCCGTGGGGGCCACCGTGCAGTATATCTGTGACCAGGGTTTTGTGCTAACGGGTAGTGCCATCCTTACCTGCCATGACCGCCAAGCCAGCAGCCCCAAGTGGAGCGACCGGGCCCCCAAATGTCTCTGTAAGTGTCAAACACGTAGGAAGAAACCTCTGGTAGGAGATAAAAGATGCTGTCTCTGGAGACCACAGGCCTGACACCCTTACTGGGCTCTCCCTCATTTGCAGTGGAACAGTTCAAGCCATGCCATGGCCTCGGCGCCCCCGAGAATGGTGCCTGCAGTCCTGAGAAGCGGCTACACCCAGCAGGGGCTACTGTCCACTTCTCATGTGCCCCTGGCTATGTGCTGAAGGGCCAAGCCAGCATCAAGTGTGTGCCCGGACACCCTTCACATTGGAGTGACCCTCCACCCATCTGTAGGGCTGGTGAGTGCTGTCACCCCAAAACCTCTGCATGGCCCATAGGGCTGCTCTGGCAAAGATGTCAAATGTTGAGAAAGAGAATCTGCCCATGCCACCTTCGTATTACCTCTGGTCTCCCCTTGATCTCCCCAATCTCTGCCAGATTTTTCTGACCTGGTGATAACAAGACAAATGCTAGGGTGGGTTCTCCTTGGACAAATCCTTCCCATGATCAGTGGTTTGGCCTGTTGAGCTCACCCACTATCCTTGGCCCTCCTCTCTTGTTCCAGCCTCTCTGGATGGGTTCTACAGCAGCCGCAGCCTGGATGGTGAGCCCCCACCCTTAAGAGCCGGGGAGGTAGTCTCCCTCCCCTGGTTCTCACAGCAACCAGGCCATGGGTTCTCCCAAGGAAGGAGGGCAGAGAAAGAGAGTAGTCTGGGACTGGCAAGGCAAAAAGCTCCTTTTCTGCCTTCATCCAGCTGGAGGGAGCTGGTGGCTGGATGCCCCCGGGCAGAGGTGAGGGGAATGTGGGCTCCAGGTGACAGGGACCTCTGCCCCAATCCCACTCTCTGTGTTTTCAGTTGCCAAGGCGCCTGCTGTGTCCAGCGCCCTGGATGCTGCCCACATAGCAGCTGCCATCTTTCTGCCACTGGTGGCGATGGCACTCTTGGTGGGAGGTGTGTACCTCTACTTCTCCAGGTAAGTCTGGCTTCCCTTCTTGTCCTCCATACCTGACTCACTCCTGCCTAGCACTCTGGACTCACAGGCTTCTCTGCCCCACAGGTTCCAGGGGAAAAGCACCCTGCAGCTTCCCCGAACGCGACCCCGCCCCTACGACCGAATTACCGTGGAGTCGGCATTTGACAATCCAACTTATGAGACTGGAGTAAGTACCTTTGCCAGTCTTGACACCCTATCCAGCATCCAGTTCTATGCTCCCTTGGGCAGGTACCCTGAGGGTCCTGCCAAGCCCTCTCATTCTTTCTCTTTTCCTTAGGAAGGTGGATTATGGGCTGGCAAACATTATACAAGTTTCCAACTCCCAGCAGTCTCTTTCCTTTGCAGGAGATGAGAGAATATGAAGTATCCATCTAGGTGGGGGCAGACTGGAGAAGCCAGCTCAGCCCTGCATCACAGCCCAGCAGCAGAGTTCCCAGCTTCCTGCTGTCCCTCCACCTCCTGTACATACCACCTGGGAAGAGATGCCACCAATCCCTCAAGAAGTTGTGCCCTTCCCCACTTGCAATCCCCACCAGGGCCTATGTTCTTGGTATCACTGCTCACTTAGGGTCCTTCCTTGGGTCCAGGTCAGGGGGCATCTGCCTCTCAGCAGAACACAGCTGGAGCATATGTATCAAGAACCAGCATTCTCCTGACCTTCCTTCATGCCCTGCACCTCCAGCCTGGAATTCACAGGCAGAGCAGGAGCACCTGCTTCCACTTGACCAACACCCAGCCCTGGCATGTAGCACCCTGCAGCAGGGTGCTCCTCACAAGGCCATCACCAGTGGCCAAAACTGCTCTCAACAGTGACCTCTGGGTAGTACTGGCATGCCAACGTCAGCCCCTAGAGGAGGTCTCTAGTCCTTCTCTAAGGCCCCAGGAATGGACAGTTCTGCCTCCTGTCCCTTCCTAGTGGAGGCAATAATTCTAAGGGATCCTAAGGGGTTTAGGGACCCTACCCAAGCTCAGGTTGGGCTGCCCTAGGCACTCATGCTCCACACCAAAGCAGGAAACCCCACTGCTCCCCTGGCAGCCCTATACCCTGAAGAGAGTGAGACCTTCCTCTGATGCCAGTCTGGCTGTTACAAACATCCTTTTTCCCACTAGTCCCTCCTCTAACCCCAAACACTTGCCAGACTTTCCTCCTGGCCACTGTGTTTTGAGATAAGAGGAGTGGACAGGCATATTCTGGAGAGAAGCAGAGGTCCAAGGGTCCAGGAATTTGGCATGGAACAGGGGGCCAGAGAGCCCCAGGGAGAGGCCCAGGAGCTGGCTGCAGGCCACTCTGTACATGTAATGTATTATATGGAGTCTGGTTTCCAGCCAGAGAAGAATCTTCTATTTCGGTTGTTTCCTTATTAAAATGGTGTTTTTGAAAAAACCAAGCAATGGCCAGGTGGATGCTGCTTTCTTGGAGGGAAGGGAAGTGGGAGATAAATGGGATGCGGACTTCAGGACTTGAAGGCATGCTTGACCCACAAACTAATACTCCCCATATTTTATCAAAAACCAGGTATGTGCAGGTGCTACAGGGATCACTGTTCCAACAAGGTCAGTGCAACAGATGGCAGTGAAATGAGAGGTCCCAATGGCTGGTGTCACAGGGGTGTAGAAGCCCAGGAACCCAACTGATCAACCACCCCAATGCCTCATTTCCTCCTCTTTGCTAGGTCCAGAACCACAAGCTGACAAACTCCCAAACCCCTTCTCGATGTATTGCTGACAAGTCCCAGGAAACCTGACGCACCTCTCCTTCTTTCCCAGCTAGCTCAGAAAATTGGAATAGGAATCTAAGACAACTCCTAAACATGAGACTCTAGTCTATCTTGGCCTCAGAGAACATACAGACTTAGTGTCAGGGACAATGCAGCATAGAGGCTTGGCTCCTATTTTAGCAAAAGCCCTATTCATGGACTCTAGAAAGAGGTGGCTGGACAGAATATGCGTAAGTTTGCCAAGTGTGGTCCCTCCCAGACCCTTTGCCCCTTCTCGATGGCCCCCAGTACCTCCTAAGATGAAACTGCTTGCCCTTGGTCCCCAGCATGCACATCCATGCTCAGCGGTGCATTCTGCATGGCTGCTCTCCAGAATAAGAGCAAGAGGCAGGAAACGGAGTTATAGGAACTTAGAAGCTAAAAGACAAAATCCCTGAAGGAAATAATAGCAACCAGCAGCTTCTGCTTTTACAGTCTTCCAATAGGGAGGTCTTAACCACTTATGGCTGTCCACCTCCTGGATCTAACACAAGCCACCTTGAGGGGTGGAGAGGCTCCAGTCCATACAGAGTGCAATGCCTAGATTAGCCACAAGAGGTCACTTGTAAAGGCATCTGTATCCCACCTGCTCTCTCCCCTCAATCCCTGAATAGCTAGGCTGGAGCTCTCCAAGGTGGCACCAACTCCTGGCGCCGCGGGGCTGACCTCACTCTCCAAGTTCAAAGAAGAAGGTGTGTAGAGTGATTAGTTCCCCTGGCACTTGTCAACAGAGCCAAGTATTATTCTCTTCATTAGCCCATAGCCTATTCCTATTCTCAACTGCAATTGATGGTGTTGATTAAAGTAAAGCCTTGCTCACTAGGCTTGTACCAATGTCTTACTATCTGCCCCATAATGCCTTTGGGGCAGTAAAAAGGAGGCCAGAAAAAGAGGGCTCATGAGGTTCCAACTTCTGAGGGCGTGTGGCATGAAACACAGGAAAGATGAGGTCTGGCCACTTCCATATATCTAGCTCAGCCCTCCACATCTCTGGCCCATAGCCATTAAGATTTCTTGTTTCCTGAAGCTGGTAGAGAGCAGACAGCGGCCAGTTAACATGACATTTCCCCCACTCCAACCAAACCAATAAGGCCCACCACCTTATCATTCTTCCCAGGCACCAATGAGATCATCAGAAACCTAAGGCCACACACTGACATCCTTCATACTATCCCAAAAGAAGGAGTAGCAGCAGCAACTCCTCACAGGCAGCTTAGACAGTGTTCTGGCCTGGGAATCAAGAAATCTGTTTCATTCCTAGGTCTGCCATAAATTGAACTAAGCAAATCACTGCTCTTCTCTGTGAATCTGGAAATGAGAGGATTAATACAGGTGGTCTTTGAGCCCTTTTCAGTTTTACACTTCTGAGAATACTAAGTATACCTTAACATCCAAAGTGAGCAAGAAAGAGCTACTCGGTAACAACGCCAACTAAATGCCTAGTGTCAGGAACAGAGATGTCATTTCCTTCTCCACTGCTTCATCTACAGTCTGGCAGAGATAACTGGCCATCTCTAATGGCGATAACAAGGGGAGGGGCGAGCGCCGCGGAGGTAGTAAAGCCTCGCCCAGAATTCAAGATGAGGCTTTCAGACTACAAGTCCCAGCATACAGTACTGCAGCTCTCAAAAATATCCTAGGCAGGCAAGTCACTCTTCCCCTAGTCCATCCTACCGTACAGTGCATCGCACGCATACGAAACTACGACTCCCCAAATCCACCAGATCATCGCGATTCTTGCTCCCAGGGTGCAATGCGCTCCAGGTCGCCCTTTACCCCCGCCCCCTTGAGCGTTGCAAACTGGGAATTGAAGTCCACTGTAGGCAGGTAACTGGGCGTTGTCAACATCACAAACTCTTCGCTTTCGGCTTCCTCTTGAAGAACAGTTCTCAGGGACAGAGATCAAGAGGGTAATAACAGGCTGGCGAAACTCTGCAGGGTGTCATCACTACGCAAGGCAGAGATGTTGAAGCTAAAATTAACTGTTGGGAACGGGAGGGAAGTGGGAACAGCACCCATCCAACCCAACATCAAAAGCACCGTTTTCCGTCGCAATGGCTTTTCTTTTCTCTTTACCAATATGGCGCCTGGTCCAGCCACACCTGACGCTGGAACCAAACAGTCCATCCAGTACAACACCCCTAAGAGTACTGCTGTCAACGACAGCCTACCAGCTGCAGCCAACACCACACCTTGCTCCTTCCTGTTCTTGCCTGAGGACTCCAAGGACATGGTAGCCTATATCCCATTACTAAAATGGCGAAAGAAGAAGCATTCTTGTTAGGGCCTGCCAAGTGACAATACGCCTGCGCGAGAGCCGGCTGTGTTGTGGGGCGAGGGAGGAACATCCTCAACACGCCTGCGCGGGAACAGAGTACTCTCGGTCTATACACAAACACCAATGGATGAAGCGTCCCTATGTTCCTGCGGCTGCGCTGTGACCTTTAGTAGCTCTCCCAGGCGGCTGCGCGAAGCCTCAGGTCCCGCCCTTTTACCTCAGTACGCTGGCGCAGGGCAGAAAGGCGGGGGCTTCGGTTCTTCAGACGAATGCCAGCGCGGCTGCGCGCTGGGGGGTACCCCCTCACTGCGGCTGCGCGGGAGCCCGGCCGCCGGCTGTCACTGCGGTTGCGCGCGGCGAGCGGCGATCCCCGGGCGCCTGCGCGGGTGGCTTTGCGGGCGCTCGCGGTAAGTTTGCGCCAAGTGCGCGGCAGCCGGGACGCAGACGGCGGCGGCGGCGAGAGGCGGAGCCTGGGGACCACCCCCCATCACCCTCCCCGCAGTCACCTCACGTACCACAACCTCACCTAACCTCTCACCCCCCCTCCGATCCCCCCAACCCCGGGATGGCAGCGCCCGCCAGCCTTCCCAGCCGGACCAGCAGTCGCCAGCGCCGGCTTTAGCTTGTGGGACTAGGCCCCGCCGAGGCCTGACCCCCGGAGCCAGGACCCACCGTGC